ATTAGGGTTTGCACCACCTTTGCCGGTGAAAGAATCCAAAAATTACAAAATCCCAAAGAGATTTTCATGGACAACATAAGTCCTTAAGATTGTTGTACATTGTTTTCCATCTTCACATCCATCACGAACAAGAATCTTCTATCTGATATGGAAATTATACAATCACAAAAATTAACAATAACTTGAGACGTGTGATAGCATTGTCCTTAAGGACTTATCCGCGCGATGCGCAGTCCCTCGGGATATAACAGGTTCTTCCCAATTAATAATTGAGGAAACAGAACTAACAATGTTGGCACTCCTTGCATCTTTGTACGTAGGCTTGGCAATCCGACTTCAAAGTGGGTCAGTAGTATCCAGCTCGGAGCACCCTGGTCGCCATTGAGTGTGCCTCGGAATGCATGCCACATATTCCCCGGTGGATCACCTCGACGACATAAGCCGCTTGAGGTGCAGTCAAGCATTTAAGTAGTGGGGTGGAGATGCCACGCTTGAATAGCTCGTCGCCAACAATTACGAACTTAGCCAACCTGATCCTCATCTTCTGAGCTTCATCTTTATCCTCGGGTAAAACTCGTGCCTTCAAGTAGTTCCACATGCTTATCATCCATCCCTGGTCTTCGCTGTTACTGGTGTTGACGACCTTGTCGTCTAGGCTGGGTGAATGCAAGGTTTCCTAGATGATGGTCTGATGTTGTCCAGGGCGTTTGGTGCTAGCGAGTTTTGATAGGAGGTCAGCCCTGGTGTTCTGTTCATGCGGTACATGATGTATAGTGAACTCGTCGAAGGACGAGATCTGTTGTGATGTCACATGGAAATATCATTGCAGAAGAGTATCTTTGGCCTGGTATGTCCCGCTGAGCTGCTCTACCATGAGTTTGGAGTCACTATTGCAAGTCACTCTCTATGCTCCGAAGTCATGGGCTAACCTTAGCCCTGCGAGAAGTGCTTCGTATTCCGCTTGGTTGGTCGTCACTTTGAAGCTAAACTTGAGGGATTGCTCCAAGGTGACTTGATTTGGACCTTCCAATATATGATACCTGCACCGCCAACTTTAGAGTTGAACGACCCATCAACATACAAAGTCCATACCTGTGGTTCTTCGACCGAGGTTGGCGTCAGCTCGGCCACGAAGTCAGCTAAGCATTGAGCTTTTAGAGCGTCGCGGCTTTCGTATCAGATGCCGAACTCAGACAATTCGACCGACCATGCTATCATTCGCCCGGCGAGCTCTGGCTTTTGCAGGATTTGCTTGATTGGGTTGTCGATCTTGACTATCACCTGGTGACTCTAGAAGTAAGGTCGGAGACGCCGAGCTGCGGTAACAAGTTCCAGCGCTAGCTTCTCGATCAGCTGGTACCGTTTCTCCGTGTCTTGCAGTACTCGGCTAAAAAAGTAGATTGGCGTCTGCACTTTCTGGTGGTCTTGTACTATAACTGCGCTGATGGCGTTCTCTGCTACGGCCAAGTAGAGGAGGAGGTCGGCTTTGTGATCCGGCCTCTGTAAGATTGACGGGGTTGTGAGGAAGGCTTTGAAGCTTTTGAAAGCCTCTTCGCACCAGTTCGTCCATTCAAAATTTTGCGGCTTATGCAGCAGGGTGAAGATGGGCCCTGCTTTCTCCGCCAGCCTAGGGATAAAACGAAACAAGGAAACCAATCTTCCCGCCAAACGTTGGACTTCCTTCACAGTTTGAGGGCTCTACATCTGGATGATGGCTTTGCACTTCTCTTGGTTGGCCTCGATCCCCCTGTTAGTGATCATGAATCCGAGGAACTTACCTCCCTGGATGCCAAAGACGCACTTTTCTAGGTTGAGGCGCATGTTGTGCTTCCTGATCTGGCTGAACACCTCGGCCAGGTCGGCAGCATGAGCTTCGGCTGAGGTGGTTTTGACCACCATGTCATCGACGTAGACCTCTATGTTCCGTCTGATCTGCTGGTGGAAAACCTTGTCCATCAGCCGCTGGTAGGTGGCCCCTGCATTTTTGAGACCGAAGGGCATCAATCTGTAGTAGTAATTGGCATGATCGGTGATGAATGATGTGTGCACCTCGTCTGGTGGGTACATCATGATCTGGTTGTACCCGGAGTAAGCGTTAAGGAAACTGAGCAGGGCGTGCCCAGATGCTCCATCAACCAGCCTGTCGATGCTCGGCAAGGGGTACGAGTCTTTGGGGCATGCTTTATTCAGGTCGGTGTAGTCGACGCACATGTGCCACCTCCCCGAGCTCTTTTTTACCAATACCACATTTTCCAGCCACATGGTGTATCTGACCTCACGGATGAAGATGGCGTTCAGTAACTTTTGCGTCTCGGTGATGATGGCCTCCCGCCTTTCGCCGTCGACCTTCCTCTTCCTTTGGACCACTGGCCTTGCCTCCTTGTGGATTACCAACCTGTGACAGATAAAGTTAGCATCTATACCTGGCATGTCGGCGTTGGACCATGCAAAGAGGTCTCCGTTCTTAGAGATTTCAGCTTCGAGCTGTTGCTGTAACTTCGGGTTCAACTGCTTGCTAATTTTTTTACACTGCCCAGGAAGCTTCCCGATCTGTAAGTCATCGAGCTCATCGATGGGACTCGGTCATTCATCATGGGAGTCGGACCTCGGGTCGAGGTCAGTGATGTCCACGTGGGTGATCTGAGCCACTGTGGGGGGATCTCTCTGGCAGCGCTCGTCGGATGGAGAAACTTTCAGACTTTCGACGTAGCACTGCCGAGCCGTCTTTTGGTTTTCCTTGATAGAGATGATCTTGCCATCATTCCCTAAGAACTTCATGGTGAGATGTGGGGTAGATACCACTGCTCCGAGTTGGTTCAACGTCGGCCTTCCAATAATTATGTTGTAGGACGTGTTGGCTTCTACGAGGAGATATCGGACCATAATTCTCCTTGTGTTGGGAGAGGTTCCGAAGGTTGTCAGCAGGTTCACATATCCTTGTGTGTGTACTCGCTCTCCTGCAAAACCGACTAGGGGCTCTGTGTGAGGTTGGATAAGAGAGTGAGGGATATCTAACCTGAGGAACGTCGGCCAATACAGGACGTCAGCCGAGCTCCCTACGTAGGCTTGGCAATCCTTGTGAAATAGAACCCTTGTGAAATCTGTCGGAAAAAGAAAAATCCGTCGGAAATCAGCATTTTTCTTGTAGTGAGATATATCCTCAAAATCTTTTGTATGTTATATTTATAATGAAAGGAAACTATTTCTCAAAACCACCTTTGACCAAGTCATAAGATAAAATATATTATCTCTTGAAGATCAAGTCAAAATATAAGATAAGACCTAATCTAAAGACCAAGTCAACAAGACTAATTCTAATTAAAATATTTATTTAATTAAGTAGAATTAATTTAAAAAAAATTCTAATTAAATGAACATATTAACCTTTTTGAAATATCTCTCAAAACTACAACAGGGAGCAGATCAAGAGTAGGTGACTTTATGGCGGGTAAGCTATTTTTGGCTATTAGTTAGTTGCAAGAAGTAGGTTTTGTTCTATTTTTCCGATGGTTACTAGATATTTTGTATAGGATATTTATTTCACTCAAAGTTGTATATGTATTTGAGATCAGTAGTTATAAATTCTCAATATGATATAAATGTTAGTTGTAATATTATATTTTTGCGCATGATATTTGGTATGGGCTGTGTTCTTTATACATAGTTCACTGACATCATAGACTGTGTGAGACCTGACGGATTGTTACAATAATACTTTACTCTAATAATATAACACTACTAGAAAAGTGTCATTTTCTTGCGAATTTTCCTGCAAAAAAATATTCACAAGTAATGTGTTTACTAAATTGGTAGAAAAATTTTGCAGGTAACTTTTCCTGCGGATTTTCCTACAAATTTTAATCTGCAGGAAAAGTAAAAAAATATTTAATTTTATAAGTTTATTATTTTAAAAAAAATTAAAGCCTCACATCGATTGAAAATAAAGCAATTAAAGAGTATATAAGTTGGGACAACACTTCCCTTACAAGTTGATTTGTATGGTTACAATCTTAGAATTTAAAAGATTATGTATCACATGTTGGAGGCATGGAAACAAATATTTCAGTTGATAGAATTTATAGTAATTTTTTAATTTTTTTTCGTAAAAATATTCCTGCAAAATTTCTTGCAAAAAAATTCACAGGAAACTTTCCTGCAAATTTTCTTGCGAAATTTTTTTTGAAATTTGCCTGCAAATTTTTTTTGCAGGAAACTTTCCTGCAAATTTTTTTTTGCAAGATACTTTCCTGTGAATTTTTTTCGCAAGAAATTCCGCAGGAAAATTTCTTGTGAATTTTAAAATTCGCAAAAATATATTATTCACGAAGGTATTACCTACAGATAAAATTTCGCAAAAAAATTTGCAAGAACAACGTTTCCTGCAAATTTTTCATAAAAATTCGCAGGAAAAATCGCATGTAATAAAAAAAATTCTAGTAATGTAAATAATAAAATATAATAGTTATTGACAACTCTCATCAATAGATATATAACATAATTGATTATTGGAATTAATTTAGTGGTCGAGAATAATAAGAAGGATTTGATTGGAATAATTAGAAACGAAAAAAGTTAAATTTCAACGTCCGTGTGTGCTTTTGTATTTTTCTTCACTATCTACAACAAAAAAAAAAAACATAATTAATAATTAGTTTGCTTCAAAAAAAAAAAATAATAATTAGTAGCTAGCGGACATATTTATATAAAATGTTAGAAATGAATTAAAAAAATATATAAAATATATGTAATTTTAAAATTTTTGTGAATTAAAAATTTAAATATTAACTAATAAAATTATGAAAAATGAAATCATTTATTAATACAATTAATTATAAATAAATTAATATTAATTTAAAAGAAATCATGATAGAAATTAAAACAGAAATAAGGCACAGTTTCAAAAGTCTAAAAATTAATAAATAGTGGTAGATTACAGCTTTTTTTTTTTTTTTTTTTTTTTTTTCAGCAAAAGAAATTTATTAATAATTATTTTGGTCCGCACATGTGAAGCTTAAGAAGGATATGTTCTAACTGAGCCATGGATATCGGGACAATGGAATTCTCAAACAACAACGAAGTTGACTATGATAGAGCAAGTGATCTCAAAGCATTTGATAACACAAAAGATGGTGTTAAAGGACTTGTTGATGCTGGGGTCACAAAGATTCCTCGCATATTCCATCACCCCCTTCTTCATCAAGATTCAGATAATTCATGTGGCACACAACTCAGTGTTCCTTCAATAGATCTTGATGGTGTTGGTGAAGATCCAGCAAGGAGGAAGGTGGTGGTCGAGAAAATCAGAGAAGCATCTGAAACATGGGGTTTCTTCCAAGTTGTTAATCATGGAATAGCAATGAGTGTTCTAGAGGAGATGAAGAGTGGAGTGAATGGTTTCTATGAGCAAGATTCTGAGGTCAAAAGGGGACTATACACACGTGATCCTTTGAGGCCTTTGGTGTACAATAGCAACTTTGATCTTTATAGTGCACCAGCAGCTAATTGGAGGGATACCTTTTACTGCTTCATGGCTCCTCATCCACCAAAACCACAAGACTTGCCATCAGTGTGCAGGTATGTTATGTAGAAGAATAAACCACCAATTTTATCCTCAAATTTCTTTTGATTTTCATTTTATTGATTAGAAGTATTTAGAGTTGATTTAGGGTTAAAAGTATGATTGATCTTTGACAAAAAATTCAATTGACCACTTTTATTAAATTTTTTTAAATTACTTGTTTTATTATCAATACAATTTAATCTTGAAATTTATTTAAAATATTGAATTAAATTTTATCTAAACTGAAATAATAAAATTCTTTATGTATTTATTAAAGTATTGATTATCTATCATGTTAGTCCCTAAGTTGAAGTATTTCAGTAAATTGTTTAAAGATTAGTTTGAAAAAATAAATAAACTAATAAATAGAAGGTTATTATTTAGTATGATTTTTCAATACTTTAAAGATAATTAAAGTAATTTTCTTACTTTAAGAATCACTTATGAGAGAGGATGAAGATAAGGATAAAATTAATGAGTTACTCTATAATTAATTTTAGCATCAACAATGCTATTTGGTAAAAATAACTTGTAATGAATTTTTAACCAATTGGACGAGGGTAGATATAACAGTTTGGAGAGAAAAAGTTAGTAAGAGAGAATTGTAGAGAAAAATTTTTCTTATAGAGTTTTGGAAACCGAACAGGAATGTGGTTTTTCACGTCAAATGAGAAGTAATCTGAAGTAGCTTTTGTGTTTTTCGAGTTTTAGATGTGCAAAGAGAGTGTAGATGTGCATTATTTTTTATGTAGTTCCAAATTGACACTTCAAATAGCTATAGAATAATAAAATTCAGACATTGGGTAGTTCAGAAATTTATCTCAATTATAAATGACCAAGTTGTAAATTTGGATACATTATAGCTAATTAAGATCAACACATCTTGAAGAAAAATTCATTCTTTTTCAAATTGAACTATCAATGCATATTTTGGCAACATATTTTCAGGGTAGCATAGTCAACAGCATTAAGAAATTTAACTGCTATGCTTGCAGAGATATACTGGTGGAATACTCAAAACAAGTCAGAAACCTGGGAGGTGTGTTATTTGAGTTATTATCAGAAGCCCTTGAGCTGAATCCAAGCCATTTGAATGACATTGGTTGCAATGAGGGACTTGTAGTTGTTTGTCATTGCTACCCTGCTTGTCCAGAACCAGAATTGACACTTGGTGCAACCAAGCATGCTGATGATAGCTTCATCACTGTGCTTCTACAAGATCATATTGGTGGCCTCCAAGTTCTTCATGAAAACAAGTGGGTGGATGTGTCACCTCTACCTGGTGCTCTAGTAGTCAACATTGGTGATCTTCTACAAGTAAGTTTTCTTGTTTTACTTGTGAATTCTATATGCATGTCTTTTTCACAAATACTATTGGGGAGTTGTGAATTTTATCTGTATTTTATATATATGTTTTTCTATTTCCTATCTATTTCACTTATTAATGTTAATGGAATATGTATGATGTTAAGATCTCTATATAGTGTTAATTTTTTTGGGAGGCACCTCAAAAGCCAAATTTCTGGCTTACCCTTGAATCCAATAACATTAGTGCGATATATGTAGTCAACCCTCGTACGTATATTGGATTAAGAGTTGTCATATATGAAATCTATTTCTCAGGAGAATGTGTGACTTTGTTGGAAGAGAGTAAATTTTTGCATTCGGCTACTTGGACACAAATGTGAAGTGTTAAACAAAATGATCATACAAAGTAAAAAAAGAATTTGAACAAGGGAAAAATTTTGATATAATATCATAAATTCTGTCAGTGATACTTTCTAATCAGAATTAAACTTTACTTCATTAAAATTTATTGACATTTAATGAAAATTTTTATTATTATTCATACTAACAAAGTAAAACTTTAATAACTTTAGAAGAAGAACATCAACATGATAGCATATATAAGTTTTATCCCTTAAACAATTGAATTCCTTGATATCAATCAGATGCATGAAATGGTTACACAATTTACCTTAGTTATTGATATCAAAGATGGGGTGCATAATATCATAAGAAATACATGTTCTATATCGAACAACATTAACATGCCATATTAAAAAATATAAAAAAAAACATTAACATGACATATATTTCAATAGCTATCTCTCATTTGGGATGCTTCTATGATTCATTTTCAATTTCTTATGCATTTTACAGTTCTGTTGATAACAAAAAAATTAATTTTCTTGCAAGCAGCTTATAACAAATGACAAATTCAAGAGTGTTGAGCACAGAGTGGTGGCAAACCGTGTAGGTCCAAGAGTATCAGTTGCAAGCTTTTTTAGCACAAGTCTTCAGCCATCAACAAAGCTTTATGGTCCCATAAAGGATTTATTATCAGAAGATAATCCTCCTAAATACAGGGAAACCACAGTGTGTGACTATGTTTCCTACGCCTTTGCAAGAGGCCTTGATGGAACTTCTCCTCTGCCACATTTCAGGATCAAATATCTCTGATACACGTATGAGGCTATTTTTAACATGTATACATAACTTTTTTTTATTACAATAAAGTACAATTACATGTAAGGACATCAAAATTACTATTAGTGAAAATTATTTAATAACAATAAATTAATAATATATATTTTATTATCTAATAAAAATATTAATAACTAATAAATAATTATAATCACTAAAAATACTTTTATAATACACTAAAATTTATTATTAATAATAATTATTTAATGGTAATAAATTAATTATCTATTTTATTATCTAATAAAAATATTAATAACTAATAAATAATAGCTATTAAAAATATATTTACAAGAGTAATTATTAAAAATGACTAGTAAAAAGTAAGAGTAACTTTTAATTCATTTTATTGAAAAAAGTTTAAGTCTTACACGACTAAAGATAAGATAATTAAAAAGTATATAAGTGGCGATTCTCACCTGGTTTTGTAGGGTTGGATTTGGACGTGGCTGTTCGTGGGTTACTTTGTATGAGAGCATATGTTTGTTGCATTTTGTTTATTCAAACCATTCATTTATTTTTCTTATAATTCCCCTAAGGTAAAGAAAAACACAAAATAAAATGCATTATCATGAGGGAAAACAGTGTGAAAATGAAATATGTGGGAGAAGCATATACATCCCTTGTTTAAAAAGGGGGGTATCATGCATTTTCTAAAAAATAAAATAATAATAATAAAAATAAATAAAAAATAAAAAGAGAGAGAGTATAAAGGAAGGACATGCATACCATATACATTCTTAGGATCATTAGGAGATTTCTCACAAAGACTAATGAACTCCAATTAGTGTGACCTTTTTGTCATATCCTAAAAAATTACGAAAAGGGACACTATGATTTCACATTCCTAAAGGAGCGATCACGAAGTCTTTGTTGAGAGACCTCCTTCATGCATTCTCATTCATTAGATTAATAGGTAACCTTTGGGTTGTCCTCCCCGAAGGTGACTTTTTAACACTCTATATTCACGAAGGCTTAGAGTGGAAGAGTCATGGAAGCTTTACAAGAAGGAGGTTGATGAGCTCTTTCCTTCCATGGTGTGTTCTTTGGCTTCCAAGGAGGAGCTCCCTCTTTCTCCACGGTCTAGGAAGAAGGATGATAACTGGATGTTCCTCAAGGGTGGTGGAAAAATAATATTGAAGGGTGGAGATGAAGGTGGGCGAAAATGGAGGTGGGAAGGTGGAAAGTGTTTTTGGTGCTCTTGGCTAGCTCTCTCCACCAAGGGTTGGTGGAGGCCACTCAAGGGAAACTCAAACTCTCTTTAGGGTAGAGAGGAAAGGAGGTTGGGCATGAGGACCCTAGGAGACTAAGGAAGGATTTTGAGGCACAAAGGCTCATTTACAAGGTGAGACTAGAGTATTTATAGAGAGAGGAGAGTATCCTAGGGTTTCTTAGGAGCATTTGGCCGAAAATTTCAAGCCCAAATGCACCCTAAATCACTACAAGAAAAACGTAAATTTTCGACGAAAAATTTCCGACGGATATGGATCTGTCGGAAAATTTATATTTTCCGACAGATTTATATTTCTGTCGAAAATTTTTGACAGAATTTGCTGTCAAAAATTTGCTGTTAGAAATTTTTGACAGAAATATAAATCCGTCAGAAATTTCTGACAGAAAAATAAATCATTCGAAAATTTCTGACAGAATATTCCGTCAAAAATTTCTGAAATCTGTCAGAAATTTCTTATTTTTAATTTTTATTTTTAATTCTCATTTTTAATTTCTTATTTTTAAATTTATTTTTAATTCTTATTTTCATTTTCTAAAATTGGAATTTCGTCGAAGGACGAGATCTGTTGTGATGTCACATGGAAATATCATTGCAGAAGAGTATCTTTGGCCTGGTATGTCCCGCTGAGCTGCTCTACCATGAGTTTGGAGTCACTATTGCAAGTCACTCTCTATGCTCCGAAGTCATGGGCTAACCTTAGCCCTGCGAGAAGTGCTTCGTATTCCGCTTGGTTGGTCGTCACTTTGAAGCTAAACTTGAGGGATTGCTCCAAGGTGACTTGATTTGGACCTTCCAATATATGATACCTGCACCGCCAACTTTAGAGTTGAACGACCCATCAACATACAAAGTCCATACCTGTGGTTCTTCGACCGAGGTTGGCGTCAGCTCGGCCACGAAGTCAGCTAAGCATTGAGCTTTTAGAGCGTCGCGGCTTTCGTATCAGATGCCGAACTCAGACAATTCGACCGACCATGCTATCATTCGCCCGGCGAGCTCTGGCTTTTGCAGGATTTGCTTGATTGGGTTGTCGATCTTGACTATCACCTGGTGACTCTAGAAGTAAGGTCGGAGACGCCGAGCTGCGGTAACAAGTTCCAGCGCTAGCTTCTCGATCAGCTGGTACCGTTTCTCCGTGTCTTGCAGTACTCGGCTAAAAAAGTAGATTGGCGTCTGCACTTTCTGGTGGTCTTGTACTATAACTGCGCTGATGGCGTTCTCTGCTACGGCCAAGTAGAGGAGGAGGTCGGCTTTGTGATCCGGCCTCTGTAAGATTGACGGGGTTGTGAGGAAGGCTTTGAAGCTTTTGAAAGCCTCTTCGCACCAGTTCGTCCATTCAAAATTTTGCGGCTTATGCAGCAGGGTGAAGATGGGCCCTGCTTTCTCCGCCAGCCTAGGGATAAAACGAAACAAGGAAACCAATCTTCCCGCCAAACGTTGGACTTCCTTCACAGTTTGAGGGCTCTACATCTGGATGATGGCTTTGCACTTCTCTTGGTTGGCCTCGATCCCCCTGTTAGTGATCATGAATCCGAGGAACTTACCTCCCTGGATGCCAAAGACGCACTTTTCTAGGTTGAGGCGCATGTTGTGCTTCCTGATCTGGCTGAACACCTCGGCCAGGTCGGCAGCATGAGCTTCGGCTGAGGTGGTTTTGACCACCATGTCATCGACGTAGACCTCTATGTTCCGTCTGATCTGCTGGTGGAAAACCTTGTCCATCAGCCGCTGGTAGGTGGCCCCTGCATTTTTGAGACCGAAGGGCATCAATCTGTAGTAGTAATTGGCATGATCGGTGATGAATGATGTGTGCACCTCGTCTGGTGGGTACATCATGATCTGGTTGTACCCGGAGTAAGCGTTAAGGAAACTGAGCAGGGCGTGCCCAGATGCTCCATCAACCAGCCTGTCGATGCTCGGCAAGGGGTACGAGTCTTTGGGGCATGCTTTATTCAGGTCGGTGTAGTCGACGCACATGTGCCACCTCCCCGAGCTCTTTTTTACCAATACCACATTTTCCAGCCACATGGTGTATCTGACCTCACGGATGAAGATGGCGTTCAGTAACTTTTGCGTCTCGGTGATGATGGCCTCCCGCCTTTCGCCGTCGACCTTCCTCTTCCTTTGGACCACTGGCCTTGCCTCCTTGTGGATTACCAACCTGTGACAGATAAAGTTAGCATCTATACCTGGCATGTCGGCGTTGGACCATGCAAAGAGGTCTCCGTTCTTAGAGATTTCAGCAAAAAAAAATAAGGATAAATACATTTTTTAAATTTTATATGTTTGATTTAAGGTAAATAAATATATTAAATTAATTAATAATTTATTTAAAATATTAAAATTTAATTTATAAGTATGTAATAAATAAATATTTATAATTTTATAAATTATATTATCATTATAAATTATAAAATTAAATAATTTAAATTATAATTTTAAATAAAAATAAGTAGATGTTAATTATAAAAGTAAGTACATATAAATAAAGAATAATTGCATATATTATTATTATTATTATTATTCGTAATATAAAATTATTATATATTATTATTATAGTACAAGTATGAGATTGTATATTTGAAGATGACTTAAATGAATTAATTTGTACAAGTTATACTGACAACATACATATACATTTCGGTAGCTTACTCATCAGAACTTCATAGTTAAGCGTGTTTGACCTGGAGTAGTATTGGGATGGGTGACCTTTTGGAAGTTTCCTAGAAATTGCGCAAGTAAGGATAAAACACGCTAAAAAGCGAAATGTCATGAAGTAAAACCCTTGAGAGGTCAAATATGAGGACTATTACATTAATAAATTTATTAAAATTAAAAAAAAAAATATTTTCTGACAGAAATATCCGTCGAAAATTTTTGACAGATAAAATTATTTTCGACGGATTTTTTTTCCGATGCCACTTTTTTCGACGAGTTTAAATCCGTCAGAAATCTGTCAGAAAAAACAAAATCCGTCAGAAATTTACCCTTTTCTATCAGAAATTTCTGTCAGAAATTAGCATTTTTCTTGTAGTGAATGAACCCTAGATGCAGCTCAAATGAAATGGCTCTCATCTCTCCAAAAAGACTAAAGTACCCTTAGTCCTAGAAAATGAAAGAAATGGACTTTTGACCTTACTAGTCAAGGTTAAGTCCCTAAATAAATCCTAAGACTAATTTTGCCCCATAATACAAAGGCTAAATAAAAATACACAATAAAATCCTAATAGCTAATGTACCCCAAAATACAAGGGCAAAATAGGAAAGGAAAGCAACAAGCTAAGGAGAGGGCCCAAAATCCACATACATGATGATCATGGCTTTTGGTGTGGTGTGTTCTTCATCTTCCTCTACTCTCCTAGTCATGGACCTTGTGATAGGCCCTATATGATGTATCAAGGATGGTCCTCCGCCATCCCCTCCTTCTTAAGAAGTATTTGACCTTAAATCTTCAACCTCATCCATTTCATTAGTCCCTACAAAAGGTGTAAGATCACAAACATTAAAAGAGGAACTTACTCCATATTTAGAGGGAAGGTCTACGATGTATGCATTGTCATTAATCTTCTTAAGGACTTGGAAATGACCATCTCCCCTAGGGCTTAGTTTGGACTTCCTTTGAGTAGGAAATCTATATTTCCTCAAGTGAAGCCAAACCCAATCCACAACTTCAAAGGTCACCCTTTTCCTCCCTTTGTTGTTGTATTTGGCATATTTTTTAGTTTGTTTTTCAATTTGGCTCTTAACTTTCTCATGGTATTTTCTTATAAAGTCAACCCTTGATACTCCTTCTTTGTGATACAAGGAAGTAATATTAGGGAGTGGGAGTAAGTCAAGAGGGGTAAGAGGATTAAAGCCATAT